GGGGGAGGGGGGGAGGCGGGAATAAAAAGAGGGTCAGAGACACAGAAGCCCCCGGGCTGATGTCCTCTTTCAGGTTTCCCTCCAGTGCAGCAGGTGCCCCACCACCACCACTACTTTTCCCCATAAAGTTCCCCATCGGTTGTTCCTCCATGCAAAGCCACCCCATGCTCTGATCAGGGGCAGGTGCCACATGCTGATTAACCGTTAAGCTTTGGGCACCATCAGGTCCCCCAATATAAATGGCAACCTCAAGTTCCCAAGAGAACCCATCATAACTCCAATACTGGACTTTGCAGGTACAAGGCCAGGAAAGCAAGGCAGCTGCTTGGGGGAAGGTTACAGAACTGCGAGCAAGCTCTGACTTGCGGATGGAAGGCTGGTGGCATGAGAGGCATCCAGGGTGGTGGTGTGCAACACTGGCTCTGCATGAAACAGCACCTTTAAGGGATACTTCCAGAGCAAGCAGCATGCCCATACACAGGTTGGTCAAGATGGGCTGTAGACTGTTTTAAATCTTAGAATTTAAAACTTAGAAACTGATTCAGATCCTTAAGGTCATGTTTGTAACATAGGCCTGAGAGCAGCAGAACAAGGAAAAGAACGTATCTGTATCGCCCTTTGTTTGCATTGCCAAGTTCCCGCATAAAGAGAACATGAAGTAAGGGTGAAACAACTGTGAAAGTCCGTGCCACCAGTTCTGCGAAAGAAAATGACTTTCAAGTTCAAGTCCTGCACTGCAGCCTGGCAACAGGTCATTCTGGACCCCGAGCCAGCCGCCTGCAGGCTAAAACATTGCTTTAACCTACCTCTGTTTCCAGTTCACCCTGCCATGCAGCAGACTGGCTGGCAGATTGTTGAGAAAATGGCTCAGAAATGTATTTTAGTCATTCTCTCATGTTCTGTGACTAATTAACTGCTGTGATGCTTCTGGGCCAAATTCAGAATAACCTAACATAGTGTCAAGCAAAGCAATCACTTATCCAAGATTGCATTTCCTCAAATAAAGCTTGTCTGACACACTATAACGCAAATCCTAGCAACTATTAACATGAAACAAAATTCTTCCTTTTGCTTATTTCCTCTGTGTTAATGAAACCCATCTAATAATCTGGACCTAGGCTTAAAGACTCCATATAAAATTTCAAGACTGACACACTAATAGCATTTTGCCATAGGCTTCAAAACAGCATATAGCTAAATATTCAATACTGATGAAGATAATTGCTGGAAACCTACCACTCCATTTGTTTTAAGCAAAGACATCAGCTACAAGTACACATTAATTGTAAGCCAAACCATGCCACCCTCTGAGAAAGGACCCTCCTCTTCCACGCCTCTGTGAAGTGTTTCAGATCTTCAGTAAAATTATTAATTGTCTGGTGTATGAGAGACTACTGTACATAACCAGGGACAACCAGCCTTTCAGAAATACAGCCTGCTTACTCACAAAACACTAACGTGTTTCCAATAGCTTTTTAATTCAGCTTTTTGATGTAGCAATAACTTCATTATGAGAAAGCAAGCGTGCTTTCAGTAAATCAGAAGTTCTGTATGACAGCATCCATCTGTATACACAATTCATTGACACCACACTTGTACACGTTACTGAAGTACACGGTTCCATATACAGACTCTAAAAAAGAAAGCTGCTTGCAACAGATCACAGATGGTTTGGGTAAAACTTAGGTGGCCTTGCAGGAATACGATTCAAACCAAAAGGAACTTTAATAGGATCTTGCCCCTAATGCAGCATTTGTACTGTCTGCAGTATCGGAGCGTATGTTCGGATTTTATTGAGGCTATTTGCCTGTATAAAGGCCCAAAGATTGGAGCCTTAAGCATCTGTGATATGCTACAATCAACTGCCACAATTATGATTTGTTTTTACAGCAAATTAGCATTACAGAGCCAAGTGTAATTACGTAGCCAGCTGGGCTTTTGCAAATTCCTTACCGTTGTAGGAACAGTCTTACTTGCTTCTTGATAGACATGTTGCTCTGAGACTAAACTGCTAGGGAAATAACCAACTGTCCCCATATGGTCTTCATACTGTTCTCCATAAACCTTCAAGCAAGGAGATGTATAATTAGGTACCTTCAAACAGTCCTCATCTGGTTTGAGCTAGTTCATAATTTAGTCAAAAGCAGTTACTAATAGTGTTTCTGACTCTGGCTTTAGATTTCCTAGTTTCCAATTAGCTGGCACATGAAACGAGACATTAACACAAATTCTGATACAGGCATGCAGTTTTTGGAGTAAATTAATACCTTAATTTTTTTAGAAATGCATCTAATATTTATTTTGGCTTCCCTTAAATTTAAGAGTTTTATGACCAACTGTGATAAAAGCTTTCTCCTCCATAGTTTCAGCAAACGGGCACAGAAAAGAACTGTTGAGCCCTTCTGTTATGGTTCAGTTCATAATTACCATATCGTTATTGAAGATATTTCATTAAAAATAAAAAAATTAAAACCCTCAAGACTCCTCAATCAGTTTAAGTTTAAACATTCACTTTGAAAACTAAGTTGCTACTCTAAAACCCACAATAGCTCAGCGTTAGCAGCCATTTCTTGACAGAAATGCGTGTTGATCTACTTCTGGTTTGCTCATATACACAAGAATCTCCTCTTACACTTCCAGCCCAGAATTCTCCAGAGTCTTTTTCTTTCACTAGTTTTGAGTAAACATAAATCAACTGCCCTTTTTTAATATTAATGAATCTGCAGTCTGGAGCGTTATAATCCTCTTCTGCTCTGGCAAGGGAAATGGTGTCTAGAAAAAAAAAAAGAATGAGGTGGACAAATTTAAATACATATAGACTTTTAGACAGAGAAATATAAATATGTGTGTGCTTGTATGCACGCATGTAAATCTATTTCTACAGATAAAAATAGGTTATCCTGAAAAGTAATAAAAGTCATCAAGAATTTGTTCTCATTTTTCTATCCTTCAGTAAGCAAAGTAACAGCATGTGCCATTTCATCATAGTGGAAGTTACAATCCTTCTCTACACTTAGCATGCACTTGAGTGAAAAATGTCCTTTACAAACCTCTTTTTGCAGTAAAACTGCTTGTGACATTCTACATAAACCCTCTCACTCTGCTTTTTAAAGTTGACAAGCCAATGCAAATATAACAGAGCTAAATAAGCAGAGTAGTTTTCCCTCACACTACCGCATCCAAACTCTGCAGTCATTTTTGAGACTATTTTGTCCTCAAAATGAAAGCAAAATTACTTACAGACACAGTCGTCATCAGCACACAGCTTCTTGCTGGCAAGCTTTTCCATAAAAACTCCAGTTACAAGAGGACACATTAATCCGAGACACAAAAGTAAAACAACCAAATAAACACGTCGTGTCATTTTCCTGTGCTGCAGCACTTGCTGAATGCGTACCAGGTCCAGCGATCCCTGTCTCTTATGGAAGAGGCAGACACCTGGGCAAACACGCCAGGCCAATGGGAAGGGGCCAGGGCAACATTCCACCCCACCAGAGGAGCCGCAGGCGGGAGGAAGACCTTGGGGTCCACTCACGAAACCGAATCCCTTCCCAAAGCCATTCTGCATTAACATTTCAATCAGCAGCTGTATTATTTAAACATTTTAAGCCTTCCTGTAGTTGTCCATAGTCTTAATCTTACCTCAAGCAAAGTCTGAGAATGAAAATTAAGTCAGACCCTGGTAAGCAGCAAAGGAAATTACATCCTTCCAAATCCTCAAGTCCTTCATTTTCCCAAATGCTCGCTGACAAATGTAATCTTCCCCAGACCATAAACCCTCAGTGGCAGAGATTGCCCTGTTACAGTCTACAGAAAGGACCCTAATACATGGATGCAAACATAAACAAACCATTTGGGAGTTGAAACACAGTAAAAAGGTTTTGCAAGTTAGCAGTTTAAATTTGAGGTCTAAAAGTTGAAGCACCACATAGTCATACAGGCAAGATTCCTTCCGCAAGGAGACGCAGTCGGGAGCAAAACACACAGGTTACGCCAGGACAGCAACCTTCTCGCTTTTATTTACATAGCTGAACTCAGCTGAGTTTGCAGACACACAATGCTGAACAACATACAGTGCCACAGGCTGACTTAAAGGGTCCTCTTTACCCCTTGGAGATGATAGAATTCATCTAACTTCCCACAATCTAGTCCTAGCATACATGAGGCAAGACTTGTAGAGAGTATTTGAACTGAAATACACACACACACACACACACACACACACACACACACACACACACACAAAGGGAACAACCGCCAGGGTTCTTGCACTGTAAGCAATTCATATCACAGCTGTCAGGCTACAGAAGGCTGGTTCTGGGTCAGTTCTTAAAAGTGACCAGGAGCAAATTTGGGAATTCCCCAAACATCACTCCAGAGAACCAGTGTTACCTGATGCATGAGGTAGCCTGAATAGCGGCTGGCTGTACCAGCTTGCAGTCAACAAGCAGAACAGAGGAAGCCATCACCTGTCACCCAAAATCGCAGTCTCTTTTAAACAAGGAGCATCTTGCAGTTTCTAGCATCACCCTCCTATTACAGCTGACTTCACCACATTCTCCTCTGTCTTCCAGCCTGTTACTCCTTCCTCCCACCTCCTGTACACAGTGCTAACCTCCTTTGCAGACAGCTCCATGCAAACCCTTCTAAGTGAATAAAGGTGAAGAGTGGTGGCATGCTCATGTACAGACTAGTGGGATGCAAGGACAGCATACTTCATGCCTATAAAATTATGAAAAACTAAGGTTCATGATGGAATAACACAGCCACTTTTGCTCCCTTACAGGCAGATTGAAACAGTTTTTACTTGAAAGTATTAGAGTACTTGTTGAAATAAAAAAAAAATGACTAAAAAGAATGAAAAAAATACATATAGGGAGATACAACAGTAAATGGAGTTGACACTGGAAGGGGCATCATCTTACAATGTACTCTGGGAGCAGATGAAAGATTTTTCAGGTCTTGTACAAAAAAGGTGGTTTACGTAGCTAGTTTTATGCTTACAGATGCAAGGAAACACAGCACTTGCTCAGAAAATGAGTGACCGTGCCAAAACTACTATATATAAAATACCAAGAAGTATACCAAGACTTTATAAAAATCAAATTGTGCTTTCCTGAAGGTGCAGCACTTTGTCCACAGAACAGTTTCAAGTCAGATCTCAATTGTTTCAGCAGACAAACTGGGGGAACAGATGCTCTGCAGCTACAGCCAAGCCCACACAACACAGGAAGGGACTGCACCGAGCCATGGTCATAGAGGCAAGGCTACAGCCTCCAGCATCCTTCCTCCTGCTCTCACTGACCACAACTTTGGAAAGAGAAAAACCTCAACAATTGCAACATAGCTACAAAGCAAAACATTCTTCCTTGTAGTTTCTTGCCTAAAGATCAGCTACTCCAATACTTACCTGAACTACTCCTAAAGGAAATCATGCTAACGCCATCCCTTCTTTATCTGAAAGGGTAGTTAGAGGCCTCACAGAGGGAGCGTTCAAGAAGTGAGGAATGATGCAACACGACAAGCGCGGCGTGACCACTTCCTTTCAAACATTAACCTTCGAGGGTTTGATTGCAATCCTCCTAGCCAACATCATGCAACAGCTACTGTAAGATTCACCAAAAATATAATCATATTTTAAGTAAATTTAATTATTCTCTTAACCCAAAATATCTTTCTAGGTCTTCCATCACCTGAACAAAACCCTTCAGCTTTTGAAGTGATTTTTGCACCCAAATATTTAGTACAGTTACAACTCACAATACTACATCTGATTACTTCACGGCACTCAGTGTATTTCATGTCACACACAACCTGTAAAATGTTTTTGACAAATGTTGAAAAAAAAAAAAAACCCAAACCCAATAAACAAACCCAGAAGCATTAGGATATGTATTTTGGAAAAATCTGCCTAAAAAAGGACCATCAGGCTCATCTGCGTTGTCTTTGAAAAGAGCCAGAAAGCTCTTCCTAAACCATTTATTAAAATCAGTGGTAATAGGGCTGGAAAGAGCAGAAGAGAAGACAACAGATCATCTTTTATGTTTCTTCTGTGGACCTGCTTCTATTACCAGCCATCATCATAAAGACAAAACCAAGTTGAACAATGGTGCTGCCAAACTGTAATCAATTTCTACCCATGCCTCGAAAAAAAAACCCACTAATGATAAGTTCTTTTTCTTAGGTGACAAAATTGTTCTTGCTGAAAAGCAGCTGTCCCCTAGATAACGAGGCTGAAGACTGAGTGTTGCATTTATTCTGAATATGCTGACATTTAGCATCCTGGCTCATGCTTTTTGCTCTGGGAAGACAGCTATTTTTCCAGTGCTCACTTCTGAGAAATGAGTGTCACCTTAAAAGTAGTTAAACCACTATACTGAATGAGCCCTGCAAGCCTAACAAAAATAAGACAGATTTGAGGAAAAACATGGCTTGAAAACAGCATAAACTGAATTTATTTTATAAAAATTAGTATTTCAATGCAAAAATTTACTACCCAGTAGATCCATGGAAATCATACGTCTGTCGTGGCCACGGAGGCAATTTTACACAAGTCTTAAGTTTTCTGCAGAGAACAGCAAACATGCTAGCTGATCAAAATATCATCATACTAAAAAAACCCAACTATCCACAGAAGTCCTTTTCAGGAGCATCCGGTTATTTCTTCGCATAAGTGATTTTCATGGCATGAGATGGAGTAATCTTGAATCCTTGGAGAGCATCTCGAGCAGCTCCTGCTTGATTTTCATTTTCAAACTCCACAAATGCAATGTCATGGCGCCCAGGCACTAAACGTACTTCTTTGAATCCAGGAAACCTTTAAAAATAAGGTGAGAGAGTCAGGTAATATTTCCTAGTTTGATAATACATCGCTCTTCAGTAGCCATAAGACTTTATCATAAGCATCTACTAGTATAATAGTTACTGCTAATGAAAGATTTAAATTGAAGGGTTTTACATGTCCAGTCCTTAGGAGTATGCCTCAGTTAAGGATCATTAAGTGGAAGCAATTTAATCAGTCTTGTGCACATACAGAAGCAACTTAAGCTACTTTTAGAGAAGTCTTTAATATTACAGTCACCCGCTCAAATCCGGTGCAGATTGATAGTAGATAGCTTACACATTCAAAACCAGCTACAAAAAAAATCAGATTTGCTTTCTGCACCAAGTCATTGGAACTGACATCTGTAATCTTGGCAGTAAGACAAAGAGCTGAAATACCTTCAGAAGAAACACTTATTTCTAAAAAGTCAGCTGGCCAACTGAGAAAAAGCATACAGGTAACAGAAGAATTCAAAGGAGAAGTCCTTTCTCTTCAAAACTTACTGATTGAATAACATGGACAGCATCATCTCATTTGTTTCCTCAGGCAAGTTATTAAGGAAAAGGATATAGTTTGGTGGGTTATCAGGCACCTGCAACAACAGAAGATCAAAGCTCAGAAGATTATACACAGCTATCTGTTCCTCTGCATCCATCTGCAGGATTATTTGAACCAAGACTCACATATCCTTAGTTTTGCTCGTAACACTGCTAGCTGGACTTCAGTATTCCTTCATGCAATATGCAGACAGAGCCCCTTGGTTCTTTTACAAGGATATATTAATCTGGAGAGGCTCTTATTTCCACAAAAATCACAGTAACATTTGTTTTAGATGTGGTATTCAAACTCAACAACTCCACAGCTGATACTGCAATACCCTCAGCACTGCCGGGGTGGGACTGAGGTGCCCAAGTGCTGGCTGCAGTGCTGTCCAGACACCTGTATGGCAGTGGAAGAACCTATGACAGACTCACAGCCTTCCAGAAGAGTAGTGGGAGGCCAAGATAAATACTCTGTTCACCTGCAGTAGCACCAAAATACCAAATACATTTTGACAACTGCAACCCACAAAACCCACATGGTTTTACTACAATGCTCTACTCAGATTTATTAATTAGAAACCCCATTGGATTTAAAGCTTTAGCATCTTTACCAGATTTGCCTGCTAATATGGATTTATAGCAACCCAGCAGACACAAGGCCGAGTAGTCAGTTTGCTGACACTGGTCTGAAAGGCTGGAATCTCCCTAAGTCATCCAAGGAGATCACAAAAATAAAAAGAAACTGGACACCACAACTTCAAACGTCCCAATAACAGTGCCAAGTAAGTTAAATACCTCAGCAGAACAATTTCCTTCAGCCGATGCAAACATTCCAGGCAGTGCCACTAGAAAATAAACTTCTGAAGTTCAAACAAATACCTCAATACTCAGCGTTGTGCTTCGATGCAAACTAACATACACGTATTGTGCCTTGTTACAAATGACACTCAAAAGGAAACCTGGACTGGGAGCAAGACATTTTCCCCTGTGGATTCTGTATGCGGTTCTCAATGACAGAGCTCAAGAAGGAGCTGCAGGGCAGGCAAAGATATTCTACAGTATTTGCCGCCCTCCTGCAAACCCTGGCTCTGCAGTACCTCCACTTCTAACACACATGAATCCTTTAGAAGGTCACTGAGCAGATAAGAAGAGTGGAGCATAGGGAGTTCCTGCTACATCTCTACACGATCCTTTGGAAAATAAGACACTTAGGAGAAAAAAGAAGTGAGCAGAGGACCCCCAAACTCCTGAAAGTTCAGGATGCTTCTAGACAGATATTCTGGCCCCCCGTGCAGTCTTCCTTCTCTTTTTCTACTACTAGAACAAAATAAGTTAAAGGGAGTTTATTAACAATGAAAAAAAAAAGAATCCTTCAACTGATACTAAGCATAGTCCAAATTTAAGAATCAAATAGGATTTGTTAATAGTGCAGTTTTCTGTATAATAATGAGAAACCACAGATTTTCATTTCATGTCAACCAGATACAGTAAAAGTGCTATTTGTTTATTTACTGTGATTCAGCTGTTAGACAAATGTCTCAAAGAACAAAAAGGAAGTTGTAAGATATCCTCAAGTTTCCGTGTGTAACAAACTATTATTCATTGAGAATAACTTTAAATATTAGTGCTTTTAGTCACCAAAAAAAAAAAAAAAAAAAAAAGCATTACCTGCTGATTCTGTGCTGCAGTCCCTGGGGCGTTGGCTGAATTTTGTGTTGCTCCCTAGTAAGTAAGTAATAAATAGTTATACAAAGGTGTTCTGTTAGAAATATATAAGCACACATACCATGTTTCTGCACAGCTCAAGAAGTATGTTAAGGTTTTTTTAAGCTACAACCCAATGAACATTTGTCGAGATACCTTCAGATGGGAAACACGAAGTACGTGAAATTTCACAGAATTTCAGAACCAGGCAATCAAAGAAAAAACATCAGTAGTATCTGATCTGACTAATGGCCGAGTCAGCGGATACTGCAAATCACTATTTCTCCACATTATAAAGGTTGGTTTAATAGATGGGAATGAAGTAGTTTTGAAAACGAAGGCCTAGACAGGACACACCTAATAGAAGAAAAATAGGTGTTTCTGATAAGGACTCCGGTTTACCAAGGATAACTAAAACTATTACCATTATAGCTAGTAGCAACTACTTCTTCCTGAGAGATTTGTATACAATGATGGATTTTTTAAAAAATCCTGAGAAATCTGAATATTCTACCTAGAAAATGTTGCTTCCTATGAACACTCTTATCCCTCCTTGATACTAATTGTGCCTTAGCAGGAAGCATAGTTAAATAATACAGTATTCAAACTCTGTGCCTTGATGTCTTCTGCTGTACTTCGGCACATAAATTGCTAAATGTCGTTGGTTTAGGCCAGGCAGTGGAGTGTGGAGACATATTCCAAGCCAACTCCTGTTCATCTACCTGGAAATGAATTATCTCTTCCCCGTTTACCATTCTTCAGTGCTTAGAGAGCAAATAGGGCATTAGAACACCAAAGGGAAAAGCTGATTGAGCACTTGAAGCTGGCATTAAAGATAAGCACATGCCCCTCCTTTTTTTCTTTTTTAAGAAGAGGTTCGTTTCTACTTTGGTTTACTGTACCTTTGTCCTACATCTCTCTCTCTCCATCTGGTAATAGGAAAGAAGGGGGGAAAGAAAGAAAGAAAAAAGGAACAGCAAGGACAATACAATCAGCCCCCTCTCCCTCAACTTCTAGTGCGTACTCAAGAGCACTAGGTATCAACAGACCACAATTTAGGGAACTGAGAAATACCAAAAGACAATACTTAATCCTAAAAAACCACTTCTTAATAGAGCTTTTGTGTTTGTTGGGTTTTTTTTTGGTTTGGGTGTTTGGTTTTTTTTTTTTCCAGAGAAGCACCTTACCTGGATAACCTTTTTATTTGCTGCATTTGCTGACTGCTCCAGAGATTTGGCCTTTTTCTTTTCCTTCCTTTTTTCCTTATCAGCAAAAGTACCACGCATTTTAGAGATTATATCAGAGTCTGTTTTTGCATACTGAATACGCTTTTAAGAGGAAAAAAAAATCAGTACATTTATCAGTACATTTTGCAGTTAATAGTAATGAACATTTTGCACCACTTTCATTGACTGTGTTCTACTATGCATTCACGCATTTTTTTTAGAGTTTATAACAATATTTTTAATATCAGAAGTTCCTGAAGGTATGCTGGCAGAGTATCTAATCCTCACAATTAATTCTGAGCATAACTACAGAACTCTCAAAAACACCTAGGATAGAAATCACTAATTTTAAGCCATTAAAATCGGAACTCTATTCATCTAACAGCATCTTTTTAAAATCTGTCAAGGTAATGGACGTACAAAGCAATATAAGGACATTTGACAAAATTGGTGCTAACTTCTGTTAAAAAAAATGAAAGGATTTTTCATCCCCATTTTAAGGGGAGTTAAAGTTTTACAGTGATTTCTCAGATCTCTGAAGAAAATAGAGTTCAGCGAAACTCAGCCTTCGTAAACAGAAAGGCAAATACCTGCCTTAATCCAAACTGGATTGCATAAATCGTGTCAGCAGCACAACGGTGCTGGTTTTCTCACAAATGCTGCCCAATGCACTGGTCAGGGAGGTAAGGAGATTCAGCTCCGAGCATACAGCTGCGCAACATGATATATGCACACAATCCTATCGCTTTTACTGTCCCTTTTGACTACCTCCATACCAAATTACACAGCAGTTGAGGGGTTTTTTTAATGCTTTTGTTTAGGGCTTAGATAAGAGTATGCATGCTGCAGGAAATATTCAAAGAGGGAAGTACACCTTAAAGCTTAATGAAGCCTTAATCTTTTTAGTTCCTACTGAGTTTTACAGAGCACAAAACTCTAAGTAAAGGACAAAATGGAGCTTGCACAATTCCTTGTTAAGGATTTCATTAGAGAATCTGAAAGCATTAACAGAAAAAAGCTCATGGCTCAGCAACACAACTGTCTCTGCTCTCCTTAATGCTCAAAGCCATGAGCTGCAAGCCAGAATTAACATATCCATCCATCACTGAAGTGGGCCATTTGCATGTACGCTTACCTGGCAGAATTAAGAGATGCCTAATTATCCGAGCTCGCAACCACGTGTCAATTGTTGTGCTATTCTGCACATTATCAAGTACATGATTAAATCATGTTCTATCAACCAGCAGTGAATTTGCTTCACTTAAGTTATACTGAAATTCAGTTCTTTGGTTTGGTGATCGGACACACGCACAAGCAGAACTAGCCATCGATTTAAGAAATAAATCACTGGTCACATCAGTTGATTTCTAGGAAGTAAAACTGCAGAGATCTTCACCCTACTCACTGTTACCTCAAAAAGGAGGGACCATATTCTAGCTATTTGTTATGAATATAAGAGTAATTAAGGTTACTCTAGATGAACTGAAAGCACCTAATTTTAAATTAATTCTGTAATGTTATTGATCAGTTCAACAGAAGACACTATGAGTAAAATGGAAGCATTTAAGATCTTAGAAACTTCAAACCAGCATAGAAAAACATAAAGCCATCACTGAGGAAAACTAAATGCTGGGCTCAACTTCTGTGTGTGTGTCTTAACTACAGTCTCTCTGGCATGCTTCTGCCTTGCATAAATACATATAGTCATCAAGACATGACGCAACTGAGTAACAGTACGATGACAAATACATGTGATAGTTAATTCATAAGGTACAAGTACCAAAACCACCGTATTGCACCACAGCATTTCTTTTTTCTTTAGAAAGCTAACCAAAGAACTTACCATTGGTTTCCCATAAAACGGAAAGCCTTGTAGTTGTCTCAAAGCATTGGTAGATGATCCAAGTTCCTTAAATATAACAAAAGCCTGGCCTCTCATCTTCATAGTCTTTAATGCCACAATGTCGACCACATGACCGAACTGTGAGAACAGTGCATACAAGGACCTCTTCAGTTCTGTTGACAATAAGAAAAAATAGATTATAACAGTTTACATGCACATGTCCACTTCTACAGTTTGCAGTCCTCCAGGGACAATGTTTTTTGCCAGCTTTAGTGAGAGAAGGGGTTAAAGGAATCTTAGTAGATAAGATGCTGCGTAATAATTGTCTAGATTGCTTTGTAGTCCAGAGAATCAAATTGATAGCGCTCAAATGTTTTGTGCAAACTAACTGACTCAGGAAGATTCGTGGCTCCTTACGAAGGACAATTCTTGATAAGAACCAGGAATTTGCCTTAAGAACTGGCTTAAACCAACCCTGCAGTTTGGGCAAGAGCAAAGGGGCAACTGAGTCTGCGCGAGAACAAGGGGTTACTAGCAGTGACGAAGAGAAGCCATCAGCCTTCATCCCCAGGACCCCTGACGACCACCATAAGGAGGCATTGAGCAAGCACAGTCGGGAGGAACTTATGGAAATGACCTCATGAAACTAATTTTAATACGAAGCGGGGACAGCTTATGCATATGTATAGGCATATTGGGAAACTTCATGTATATGTAACACCTTGCTACATATAAACAGGGCAAGCTGCCGCGTGGATGTGCGCACGACTTTGGTGGGACTACCCCCCGTGCTGCCCAGTGCTGAATAAACATACCTACTTTACAATCTTGCAGATTGTGAAGTCTGTTTCCGCACATCTTTAGCTCCCGCACGATGACGTATAACACAAACTTAATCAAAGCTCTTGCACAAGTACAAGTTTATTTGGCTAGTTTTTGTAAGCTGGTGTATAACGCTTGGCTTCACACCTCAAGTAGTTAGCGAGTGAAAAAATTGTACTGCCATCCATTCTACCATTCTAGGAGGGTTAAGATTACACAAGGATAGGTATATACATTTCTTCATATATATACACACACTCTCACACGTTCAAGTATGATGTATGAAAGCCATCAAAGACTGATCAGAAAATCCATACTCTTGACATGCAACAGTAAAGAGCTATGACTTAAAACAGGAACACAGCAAAACAGTAACTACTTAAAGGCTAATTAAATTTGGAAATTTTGTTTGTAGCTGTTTCGCCAATTCTCTCACGCACATGCAATATTTTTTCATATTCTGGATCTGAGTATGTTTTTGTATAATCACACTGTGCCTTACAACTGCAATGGATGTAACTATTTAAAATCACCTGACTATGCACCAAATTAAACTGCAATCTTATCCAATCAAGCTGAATAAATCTTCTGTATTGCATGGTTATTCTAACCCACAATTCTTATATTTGAAATATTTCAGCAATGTAAGAGCACTGCCTCTTGTTTATTGCTGTTGAGACTTGGTAATACCGGCCCACCGTCACTTTCTCCAGCTGCTCTTGACCAACTGCAGCACTGTACTTATTTTTTTTTTTTAAAGTTTTCTTATCAAAACACTTTCTTTAAAAATAACTTAAAAAACTGTGTTAAAAAAATAAATCACATTTGTAAGCTTTACAGGTAATTTGAAATCCTACATTTAAAAATTATAACCACGCAGTTTCATAATGGAGACTTACGAGTTGATAGGGCGCTTAACATGTTACAAACAAAGCCCTAAGTTAAATTTATTCACTAGAACCATCTTGACAAGTTAACAACTAATTTCTCAGCAAAGCTGTTTGCTCTTTCAGATCTCTCTCTGAAGCACCCTGAAGAAACATTTAAGTAGCTCTGGCCTGATCCAGCCACTCAGTTCACAAAAAACAACAAATAAATTACCTTGGTCCTAACAGTTGGACTTAAAGGTCTTTTCCAACCTAAACCATTCTGTAATGCTCCTATGATTTTAATGACAAGCTAAGCGTGAATATTAAGTGGATGGTCCTATGCAGACATTGGAATATACAGACAGATAAGCGAAAAATATTTTTAATTTTTTAAAAAAAAAAACCCTAAAGCTCCTCAGCATGAAGTCATCTGTCTCTAGAGGGGGCTGCAGGAACTAACGCGATGACGCAAAGCAGGCCAGCTCGTGCCACGCCCACCGCTTCTGCATGGCGCCAAAGCCACGGAGGAGCACGCAGCGGCTCCCCGGTTTCATCG